TGAAGGACTCGGAGCGGGGAGGGAGGGAGGGGTCGGAGATGCGGTTGGACACTTTGTGCTGCAGCGCTGGGGAGCTCTGTCTGTTCAGCTTAGATCGCTCCTCCACCTGGGACAACACACATACCACTGTCACTCACAGCCAAGCATACAGCACAACCAATCACCACTCTTAACCCCCCCTCCATGCACCCCTACAAGCCACCAGACAATCCTAACATCACTTGTGTTCTCTCACATCACATGTTGGACTTATAAGCCTGTTTTTATGTTCACAACTCATGATAAAACTTCTGTTCAAAAGGATTCAGCGCAAGTCTCTTTTTTGTTCTTAACAGCCTCTCCCTGAAAAATTACACAGTTGGCACAAATCCAGACTTCCACAGAAACTGTCATAATAGCATATCTCCATATCTAGAATAGCGGGTGGTGACACGCAATTCTTTCTATATCTACTTGTTTGTTGATTTGTGTCTCCAAGCAGTATTTACAGTTGAGGAGTAAGAGTGTCTGGTGGCTGTTGGGAAAGGTCAAGAATTATCCCTGATCTTCTTTAACTAACACCACATTTAAACCAAAATCACAGATTTCACTACGTACAAAGGCAGTGCGTGCACACATCAAATCAAACCCTGATTGATTGTTAGTGCCCATAGGAGTTTGAGTGAGTGTTTCCACTGACTTGTGGGAGTTTCGCGTGTGTGTTGATGCCAACGAGCACCAAATATTGTGTGAGTGAGGAAGGCAGAAAGCTCCTCTTGCCAGTGTAATCAGATTATCAGATTATCTGCTGTGCAGTGAGAGAAGGCTCCGAGGAATGCTCCCAGCTGCCCAAATCACACTTTCCCACTGTAAACAATCTACTCATCGGTTGGTGGAGAGTTGAGTCATGGCTCAGCAGGGCATAGTGTCAATAGCCCCCAGGTAAACATGCGTGTGCAATGAGAACTATCCCCTTTGGAGGCTTTCTATAATTCCGCATGAGCTCATAATCTAGTAGGATTATTCAAGATTATGACCTGGGTCAGAACAACTATGCAATACTGTGTCATTCCACAAATCTTTGTTAGTTGCCTGCTAGGGAGTCAACTACAATGAGGCAACTATGGCATACATGGCAGCAGAAAACTTCCCATATATTTTGTTAGTTGTTCAACTGGTATGAAAGGCAACTACCGATGAGGCCAAGTACAAAGAACCAATGGAAAATAAACATTTGGTGAGTTTAATCTGTGGAGGCAGTACACAATCAAGGTTAGCATGAACATCAATTGACCTTTAAGAAAAAGAGAGATTACAATTAGAAGATTCCTTTACAGAAGAAAAACCTTTTGGGTAGTGGTGCTTAAATATTAATTTTGTGTGCATCAATCATTGGATTTATCTTCAGTCTGCCACCCAAAAGCTCTTTCTGCTGTGGCAGAGATTCTAAGAGGTAAAACAAAGCGTTAGTTGAAGGTAATTGTGGCCACTGCCACATTTACAAGGACACAAAGATAGACAAAAAGATAGAAGAAGAGCAGACGTAGGACAGAGGGCATCCACTTAGGATTCAGGTTTCTTAGAAGGATCCCACCACCCCTTGGCCAGCACCCATCACCAAGCTGGGAATTGATTGACTGGTTGACTGACCTAAAAAGAAGTTGGGATGGGTGGGTTTCCACGATGACAACAACACCAATATGGCTAGGAGGGGAGGGCTCTCTGTGATTAGGGTGGCATGGTGGCTGGCTGGGTGGGGGGTTAGGGCTGGGCTGTGGTTAAATAAGCTACCGATGGATCAGGGTGATATTTGAGACTGTCCCTGCATATCGGCACCTCTCCTTTGGATCCCAGTCCCAGTGGAGAATATTTTGAGTCTGACATTTAAAAAAAACTTCAGCTATATCAAATTCATAAACATGCAAAGAAATTAACAATATAATGCATGCACTTTGTAGAGATAAATGTAGATATATTTACAGTATATATTTAATGTACACTTTGCATGTGAGTGTATGTATGTACAGTATGTATGCATGTATGCTCTTGTACGTCTATCTTTGTGAGGACTAATTAGACTTTTGCACCTTGAGTTGTTTAAGGATCAAGACTTGGTTTTAGGGATGAGTTTTATGTTTTTAGGATTAGATTGGAAATAATTTGATTCTAATGTTATCTTTTGTCAATTACAGTTCATCATATATGAAGTAGATATTTAAAAGAAGTGTGTGTACCAAAACTGTAATGTTGTGTCAACCAGTACAGAAGCCAAAACAAGGTACTACAAATAGGATACGAGTTCATCATGTATTTCTTATGGTGGTTTAGGTTAGCATTTAGACATTATTTCAGTCACAAATATAGAAGTACAAAAATGTGTGCATTTGCATGTGTTGTACCAATGTTCTAGCACTCTGCTCCAACAGATGTGATGCAGAGCTGGGTCTGGGATCCGTAGGGAGAGCCATACGGGGAGCAGCGAGGGGTAGAGGAAGGTGAGCTGGAGGGGGGGAAGAAGTTGCGGTGGGGGGAGAGGAGGTGGGTGTTGATAGGTGGCGAAGATCCGTGGCCTTTGTTGAACACAAAGTTGTCAGGAGAGAATGGAGGGGACAAGGTACTGAAGGACCACGAGCTTGAGGATGTGGTGGAGCAAGAGGATGAGTTTTTTGGAGAGGTGCGAGGAGAAAGGCCCAACCATGGGGCTGAATTGGTTGGAGAGCTGGATAGCAAGCAATGAGAGGAGCAATTCATATGTCTGACCTCAGCCAGGTTCTGTCTGAGTAGCCCTGCTGGGGCAGAAGCACTAAGGTCACACATAGAGGAGCTACCTCTTATTGCATTCTGCTGACCTCCCCCTCCTCTTCTGTCTGTATTAGATGTAGGGAAAGGAAAGGGATTGTTATCAGGGACTTTAAGAAGATTGCCAGTGTTGGGGGCAGGTGAGTAGGAGTTTCTTTGTCTAGGTAGGGCGGAGTGGAGAGCACCATCAGGGAAGGATTGAGATAGGAAGTCAGTTGGGTCAAATCCTGTGACCTCTGAGCCCAAGGGCATTTTTAGGCTCTCGTGGCTGACAGCTGACTTTATCGCTTTCTGCCACCCTCCCTGAGACTCTGGTTCTATATCTACATCTATTCTACAGGAAGGTGAGTGTGACCTGCCGCGAGGACGGCCACTAACCAGTTTGACTGCAGGGATGGAAACAGGGATAGATCCAGACTGGGGTTTCTGGACCTGTCCTGGAAACTGATGATAAGGCTGAAGGGCCTTAAGTTGTGCATCTGCCCTGTCTGACCTGTCTCTAGGCTTCTCTTTCTGATTACTGGGCCCCAGAGGATAGGGGTTTGATATGGGATTAGACTGGCTGACTGGCCCTTGACTAGAGTGCTCTAGCTCTTTATGAATCTTACTATGTCCCTTACTGGGCCCTTGGCCAGCAACCTCATTGTGTTCCTGGATGTGCCCTGGGCTGCGCCCCCTCTGACTGAGTTTCTGAGCCCTAAACTCTCTGACCTGCTGACTTATCTCCTGCTTTAGCCCTGGATCTAGGGGTTCTCCAGGGTCTAGTGAAATATGAATATGGGGGAGGTGGGTGGAGAGGCGCTGGGCACCATGGGACGGGGTTCGCCTAGGGGCCTGAGCTCTGTGTTGGCCATGAGAGCCAGAGGATGAAGCCGGTTGGTTGAATGACTGGTGATGTCGTAGTTGGGAGTGGGGTGGGTTACCCTTAACAAGCTGCTGCTTCGGGACCTAGGAGTCAGAGTCAGAGGAGGGTAAGCAACAAAACAAACACACAAAGCAGACATTACAGTGTGATTATTAAAGCGACAGTGTTAACTCCGAAGTATTCAAAAAGCACTTTCCCCCTCCTTTTCACGGGGATGCTGCTTCTAGTACGACCTGCTAAATAAGATATTAAAAACACAAGAAGGCCACTGGGTGTGTATGTACAATAGGAGTTGACATTACAGGCATCATCACCAATACATGCATATATTTAGTGCACTGCTTTCCTCAAAGTTGGCTCTTTGCACATCAAACAAAAGTGATTTCATATTTTGGAAAATGACTCACATTTATAGTTACATGCATGTCTTTGCAAATCATGCATGTTGCAACTTACCTCTTTAGCCCAGGCAGGCTTGTCATTAGGATTGGTGATATCTTTGTAGTGGTAAAGTTGTTTCTTCTCTGCTTGCCTTCCCTCCTGCTGCTGCTGCTGCTGCTGTTGCTGCTGCTGCTGTTGTAGAGACACCAGGTATGCTCTCTCCTGCTGGAGCTGTCTCTGTAGCCGCTCAGCCTGCCGCTGCTCCTCTATCTGCTTACGTTTGTACTCCTGGAGGGAAAGAGGGAGAGTGGGTATGGGAGGGAGGACAGAGATGAGAGACAGGCCTGTTTCTAACCTCAGAGTCGAGTCACGAGTTCACAAATCATGCAAAACGGAACCGATGAACACAAATATAAATGACTGGAATCACGTATGGAACATGAACACACACTTTTCACAATTATAATCACAATTATAGTTACACTGATGATGGAAAAAAGACACGAGACATAAGGCATTGGCAAATCTTATGAGACAGGGGAGTGGAAGGTAGGTACTAAGAGGGAAGGAGGATGGAGGCAGGAAGGATGGCAGTAGGGAGGAAATAGGGAAGACGGCAATTTTTGGCCACAACACATTCCTGGGTATTGGTGCGTGATGCAGCCTCTGGAGTTTACATGGGTTAGATCTCAAAAGGTTTCCTCACAGGCTCTTTCATGCTCTCATTTAATAATTTTTTTCTTCAAATAGGATGCAAGGAGAAGTGGACAAATACATACTGTGGATTTCTCGCAATAATAAAGCACAAAACGGTAGCCCCAGACAAGACAGGGGCACTGAGTGAAACCCTCTGTGGAAAATAACAATGTCCTATTTTCTCTTGGATGATCCCACTTTGTGTGTGCCAGCATGATTGGTGCTGACAAAACAGTTTTTTCGGCACCCTCTGGGGAATCCTTTGAGATCCAGCCAACTTAATGGTACTGTACATGCAATCAGTGATCTGAATACACTCAACACAAGCATTAGAGATAATCAATTCATTGTCTGAGCTTCGTGTTTTTCCTCAAATCTGCAGCTAACAGGTTGACTGACTCAGACTGAGGATTCCCTCACAGTCAGTTCCTCTGTACAACTGCCACTAGGGTGCATGCAGTGGGGATAGGGGGCCACACAGCACAGATGGGGAGCAGTAGTAGCACATGGGAGGGCTATGGTTACCAGCAGTAATGCCTGCTCCTGTAGTAGCTGCTGCTGGAGAATCTCTAACTGCCTCTGTTCCTCTTCAAGCTGTCTACGGATATACTCCTGAGCAGCATGTCGGTACAAGGAGACAGAAATAGACCGAGAGAAAAATCAGGAAATCTGAACATCCAAACACAGACAGCAAGAGGAAAGACAGAGATAGGAAGAAAAATAGAGAAGATAATCTCCTGAGGTGGCTGTGAATAAGGAGAGAAGATGAGAGTCAGAAGCCAGATGAAGCGAAGAAGACTGTGTTCTCGAACAATTGTAATGTGTTACAAAGGGAAAAATGACAGAGAAGAGACAGACAAAAAAAGACGTTTGAATATATCTTTCCAAAACACTTGAAAAGTGTGGGAGGAGAGCAATGGAGCAATAAAGAGGGACCAGGACAGACACAAAATACACACCAGAACAGTACTAACAGTAGTGAGTTCAATGAGAGGACAAGGGAAAGAACTGTTAAAAGAAAGTAGGAACGATGTAAAAGGAAAGATACAGAACAATCACATTACATACATGAGCAGAATTAAACGTTTTTTTATGCATGCATGAAGATACCTGCCTTTTCTTTTTAATTTTTTTTTACATTGCTTAAGAGTTTGCAATTACATTTGATAAGCAGTTAGACTGAAAGATGACTAACTTAAATAACTAACTATTTTACATGAAAGATCCAAGAGCTGAGAAGAAGAAAAGTGGCCTGACAAAAAAATCAGATTGGGACCATGAGCACAGAAAAACAATGTATGATCAGATTAATGTCTGGTTTATGTGTGTCTAAAACCGAAATCCTAAAAAAATAAAAAAATAAAAAAAAAAAAACTAGGAAAATACGCCTCTAAGGTAATTTAGGAAGACAAGTAAAATCAGAGTGAGTTAGGAAGACGGGGGAAGATGTTGCCATAAAAAGACACAGAAAACAACAGAAAGTTTAAGGGCATAAGAAGGATTTTGGACTCGAGCTGTCATCATGTTACACACTTCTGTGGCACCATATTGTCTCGCTGCAAACAATATGCATGTCATAATATAACATTACAGTAAGTGTATGAACCTGTTCTCTCTCTGCATGCCTCCTCTCCTCCTCTCTACGGAGCTGCTCCATTTCCTCGTAGCGCCTCCTCTGTTCCCTCTCATGCTGTTTCCTCAGCTCACGTTCTCGCTGCTGCTGCTGTCAAGAGAACAGAAGCACAGGAAGATTCAGGATCACAAGACAATGAGTTGTCTGTTTTCACACAAATTAAGAAATCCTGTCTCAGCAGAGATTCACACACAACTGCTGTAACTTCGATATGTGAACCAGTTTGATGATTTCTTTTTGTATAATATCAAACCTTCCACAATGGGTCTTGGCTTAGATTCTTCTATTAATACTGGAACTGTAGCACATTCACACAAATATACAAACATATGCCTTCACACTCGCACAAACACACATGTATTTTCACAGACATACACTTGGCCCTGAGTGGAGGGGTCATGTTAGTTGAGTCGAGTCACAGTGCTTAGTCGTGCGTTGGGAGGCAAACCCTGGTGGGAACCCAGAGAGCGCACAGATTATGGGCTAAGGATTTCCTTCTGTAAGCCTGCTCTCTGGAACTAAGAGAGGGGCACTGGGAAAAGTCTGTGTGTGTGCCTCTCTCTGTTCCACTCTTTTTCTTTCCTGTAGCCTCTACCAAATAGTAAATGAAAGATTTTGTAAGTTTGAATTGCCAGAATGGGACAAATTATGTACCATCTGAATTATCCTATGTGGTATAATCTCCAAAGGTAAATTTGGGCAATCTATATTAACAATATATGCACTCATGTACATTTTTTATACAAGCTGTTGTAGATATATGAATTCAACAAAGTCAGAGGTCATGGCTGATGTCTCCTCTTCAACCTCCTGCCGCTTACCTCCTCCAGCCGCCTCCTCTGCTCCTTCTGCTCCTCAATGCGTTTCTGTCTCTCAGCCAACAGTAAGCGCTTGTGCTCCTCATTCTGCTGCTGCTCCAGCTGCTGCCGCCGCTGCGCTTCTGAACGCTCCTTATTGGCCAGCTGGAGGCGCAGGAAGTCTCGCCTCAGGGTCGACTCGCCGGGGATGTTGATGATGGAGCTGGGAACGGACAAGTGAGAAGGCAGGAGGCTTTTAAGTTAGTGAAGAGATGTCAAATGTGTTTTGTAAAAAAAAGTTGCGTACAGCATGTGTTTGTGTTTATATTTGTACATTTGTGAAGACACTGACCTTGGTTCACCCATGTCTCTTTCTTCATCCTCCTCTTCACTGCCACTGTACTCATATTCTGTCTCATCTGATGAAGAGAGAGGAGAGAGAAAGAAAAAATGTAATGGAATAAAAACAATGGAAAGGAATAAAACTAAAGTGAGTAAGGTAATAACCAGCAGAGAGCAAAGCCATTCTGCTTTACGTTTTTCATTTTTCACTTGAACTACCTTTGCTCATTACTAAACTGCTCACGATTTTGGCATTCCCAGATCCTCGCTGCTTCAAGGCACTTTCTTTTAGCCGCTTTGAATAAGAGTATAAATTGTAATTTTACTGTGTGTAGCGAGGTGGAGAACATTAGCTTGGAGCTCTTTCAGTCAAACGGGGCTTAAAGCATAACGGTTGTAGAAGCAGACCGGCTCTTCCTGAGACACATCCACAAGGACCTGTCCTCCGAAAGTGACAAAGTGACAGCTGGAGAAAGCCGCAGTCTCAACAATGACAAGACATTTCTATACATCATCATGACGTCCGCCCTGCAGTATGTTGTTTCTTGAAGCGGTTAACGTGGTTCTTACTGCTGCAGTTCTGTGTGCGAGTGCCAGTCTATCACTCTGACTGAATGTGTGTGTTTATGTGTCATGGTGGAGTGGAATTGAAGTCTGTCACTTTTATTTCCCACCTCGCTGAAAACCATGAAAGTGACGGCACGTGTGTGAGAATTTACATCTGTATCTACATCTGAAAGGGTGTAACATCTCACCCTTGTGCAATGTGTGTATTTATGTGTGTGTGCGAGAGCACTCTGATTTTATTAGGTGCGCCATGCTGAAGCTATACTCCTTATAATTTTTTCATGATACTGTTTACTGCAGTTTTTCATCAATGGCTATTCAATGTATTTAGATTCTGTAAATACCTGTCTATATATTTGTTGCCATTGTTAGTGGCGGAGTCCGCCATTCCCATGTGAAATTCAAATTGCATCCACAGGCACAATGGATTAATAGGAAGTAATTGACAGTTGTAATGCAGTATTGCCGTTTTTATGCTGCATCAGAGCTGCATCAAGCTATTGCTAAAGCATACCAAGCATTTCCCACTGCAGCTGCTGCTTCACATTAAAATCATTCAACTGGTAAAACAGTTGAATGCTAAAAGGTTGACAAGTGGCTTTTATTGTGAAACAGTCAGAGAAAACACAATATATGTTCCTATTGATTTGGCTGATATGATTTTGTGATATATAGTATTGTAATTGCAATTACTACATACATAGAGGAAGCTCTCCTTTTAATGTGAGTTAACTCCTGCGAGTTGCCATCTATCAAGCGCATCCATGTAATGAAACTGTCGTTCCACCTGCCACATGTGTGTAAATCTACATGTGCATCTGCGTTTAAATCCATATATACACATCTACAGCACATGTTCTTCCTTACCCCTCTCTCCTCTCTTCTTCTTGGTGCGGTCGATGTGGTCCTTCAGCTGGATGCGGACCTGCCTCTCGTTGGGCAGGTCTCTGATGAACGGGTGTTTGAGGAGCTGCTCTGTGCTGGGTCTCTGGCCGTGGCTCTTCACCAGACAGCTCTCTATGAACGACTGGAACTTCTTCGACCTGAAACCGCACACACATACACCAAAAGAGCAAATGACAAAACCTGCCGTGATCCGGTGTATGTCTGAACTGATCATTCTGTTGCGGCTGCGGCTAATACAGTTATCAAGATACACACTCACCACTTCTTTGACTTGAGTCTGGGAGCAGGGTTGCGCGGGATGAGGAAGAGGGCTCTCATTGGGTGCATGTCACACAGCGCTAAAGATTCAGAAATCAGGTAAACATGGTTGAGTTAGGTTGAATGTTTCGAGATAATTGTGCTAAACATTATCATGGCATATAGTCAAAGCCAGCTGGAGTTAGCCTTCGCATGATCAATATATGCTGTCAATACTGATAACAATCAAGTACTTTTACATACACAATTAGGTCTTGTCTTCTTGTATAACATCTAAGTTGGTTATCCATGTCCCAAATCGGCAGTTGTGCCTGTACTGCTATTTCATTTGATTATTTAGGGTCTTTAGTAATCAAACTTCACGTTGTCAGATTTAGCAAGGAGTTAACTAGTATTCAGCTGTGCCTTGTGATGGACAATTTTCACAAATCATTGGAGTCCTAATTAATGTCAGTAGTTTGTGTTTACTAAGTCTACATCCATATATGTTAAACTGAAATATTCTCATCCAGTTAGAGGTCTTCTTCCAAAATGCAGTCCTGTATTATACTAGACTAGAAGTTAAACTGAACAACCTTGACAAAACTAAAAGACATCCTCCATGATTACTGTGATCAGTAGCTTGGGCAGACTTTCACCAGAAGTAGCTTTTTTACTGAACCAAAATTATAATCATCATATGGATGAAAAAGAAAAGAAATAAATTAAGAGACAGCAATTTGACAACCAATTTTATATTACCTCCTTGGCCTTCATTACAATCATGGCAACACATGAGTTACATTGGCCTGGACTGAAAAATGATCTGACTCCTGATTATACTGCTCTAATGCAGTAGCACTAAGAAATTATGTGTGGCAGAGGTGTGGGTTAATGACTGGGTATGGGAATGGGTACATACGTGGTGCTCCTTCAGCCATCTCTATTGCTGTGATTCCCAGTGACCATAAATCACTCTGTAATGACAGAGACACAGTGCATAAGTACTTGGGTTGATCAAAAAAAGCAGACAGAAATCTTCAGTGGACAGGAGGTTTGGCGAAGCACCTTGAAGTCGTACGTGGCGTCAGGGTTCTCGTCACAGGCGATAACCTCTGGTGCCATCCAATATGGTGTCCCGATAAACGTGTTCCTCCTTCCTACTGTTCTGTCCAACTGGGCCGAAACACCAAAGTCCACTGCAGGATAGATACACAAACACATACACAAACAAA